AAAAAAAAGGAGGGTTGCTTAAAATTTAAAGAAAAAGGAAACACTAAGAATGCTTATCAGTAAGCTGAAGAAAGAGTAATAGGGCATGAAATCTAGAGTTATGCCAGCTCTATCCTCATCCTCACAAAATCTCAAAGTGAAGTAGCAAGAGAAAGCCTGTGTTCCAGAGAAAAGTATCCCCACAACCAAAATATTTCATATAAACAATAGACTTTTTCTCAGTCTTTAAATACATTGTAAATAAAGCCCTCTTACAACAGATTGACACAGTGACTGCTGTAGTGAGCTCAAGTATGTCAGAAATAATGAGGATGGCACAGGATAGGGCAGGGTTCAGGTCCGTTGTTCATAGGGTTGCTATGAGGCATACTCGACTAGCACACCCAAGCATTGAGGACTCACCTTCATAGGGTCACTATGAGTCGCCTGCGACTCAACGGCACTTAACAACAATAACATCAACATAGAGAGAGATCAACTGGTCCAGTGGACAGAAGGCAATGCTACCAAGCTGAAGGTGGGTGGGTGACTTTTTTTTTTTTTTTGGTGGGTGACTTATAATTCGCTACCCGTGGGCCTGTCTTTCATTGTTTTTGTTCAGACATTCCTCTAGGTCATATAGCCCTGGTGTACAAGTTGCCGTACAGTGGTAACTTGTGGTTGCTGTGAGGCTGAACACTGTGACACTGATGTGTGTCAAATGCGTGAATGGTTGGTTACCCAGTGCAGACAGAGTTGGGTTGAGCTCTCCGATTAAAACAAGCTTAGAAGCAGGAGTGGCATCCACTTCTGTAATAGTTTGCCTCTGGAAACCCTATGAACCTGGAGAGCGGGTGAAAGATACCCAAGCATTGTGGAATCTCCTTCATAGGGTCGCTATGAGTTGCCTGCAACTCAACGGCACTTAACAACAACAAAGACAACAACATCTATGAGTAAATATATCCATGCCATGCAAATTCAGCTCTTAGACAAATCATATTGCCAGACCAAACAAGGACTGTGGTTAGGGAAATTCTGGTGTAAACACTGGAAGCAGAGCCTCTTCCCTCTCCCGCAAGCATGGAAAATAGTGCTACTGCCATGAGCCACCAAACCACAGCTGGGACCTGTGTAAAAGGTGCTCTGGAAGTTTCCAGTTTCTCTGTGCTATCAGATCTGGCCAAGCCTGTTGTTTTTCTTGCCTTTGTCGATCGACAGACTTGGTCAATGGCAAAGTCACTGGAGGTAATTGAACAGGCAGAACTGGACTTGGCCTCAGAGAAGGAAGAAGGAAGGGGGCTGGACACACTTTCCTTTCTGCAAGGCCAACATCACAGAATTGGTCCTTCGTGTCTACTTTTTTCCTAGTGCCATTTATTTTTATTGGTAGAAAATCAGCCAGCTTGGGAAGTTAAATAGAGTGGTAGGTGTTGGAGTCCAGCTTTCAGCCTTTTACCTAAAGTAATAGCTCTCAGTCAGGAAAGATGCACCTCACCCCTTATCCCAAAGCCATTTGGAATATCCTGACACATTTTTTATTGCCATAACTAACCTGAGGGGTTGGGAGTTGCTACTAGCATCTCGTGAGTAGAAATGAGAGATGCTGCTAAGCAAAGCATCCTACAATGTACAAGACAGGCTCTCACACCAGGACTTACCCTGCCAAAAAACGTCATTCTTGACATAATAAAACAGGACCAGGAAGACAGAAACTCAAATATTTGAAGGCCTCTCTGTGTCATGTGTTATAAACACTCCCTATTTAATCTTTATACAACACCACAAAGTGAAGCCCATATTCAAGATGAGAAGAATGAAGATCCTAATTAAATAGAGATTTCACTCAGTAACTAGCAGAGGAGATGTTTGAACTTGACTCTAAATTATCCTCATTCGACTATAAATTCCATGTTGCTAGGTGCCCTAGAGTTACCTACCACTTATAGCAACCTTGTGAACAAGAGATCAACATCTTGCCCTATCTTGCACCATCCTCATGATCTCTGCCATGCTCGGGCCCATTGGTACAGGCACTGGGTCAATCCATCTCATTGAGGGCCTTCCTTTCTTTCACTGACCCTTTCTCTGCTTTTCTCATTATGATGCCTTTTCCCCAAAACTGGCCCCTCCTGACAACATGTCCAAAGTATTTGAGATCAAGTTTCATTACCTTTGCCTCTAAGGAGCACTCTAGTTATATTTCCTCCAAGACAGACAGTCATAGTATATATATTCAATATTCTTTGCCAACACCACAATTCAGAAGCATCAATTCTTCGGTCTTCCTTATTCATTGTCCAACTTTCAGATGCGTAGGAAGCAATTGAAAGTACCATGGCTTTGGTCAGGCACACCTTAATTTTTAAACTGACATCTTTGTTCTTTAGCATTTTAAAGAGGTCTTTGATAGCAGATAAGTTCCATAAGGAAAGAGATTTTGTTAGTTTTATTCACTTTGAATGTGCCTAACTAAAGTTCTATTGAGACTTACTTGATTAAAAACCAGTAAATAGTTGTTACATCAGTCGGTGACCCTGAAATCTATTGACAGTTTCCCTACTACTCTGAAAATAATGACAATCTACTCTAAGAAACAACTCTCTGAGGTTTTCTAGTCATGACAGTATGTTGTTACATGCCAGGAACAAAATCATCCCAGGCCAACTCAAGACACTGTGGAAGTTTATGGTAAGGTTTCACAGAAACCAAGCACAAGTCGCCAGGGCTTTTGGATTAGGCCACTAGAAGTGGCATGAGACTCCTAGTCTCAGTGGTCTCTACTTCTGTTTTCTTTCTCAAGAAATGACTTCATTTTTAAAATAATCTTGTTCAATGCTCAGAATAATAGTCTCAGATGCTTTTTTATTCTAAGAGATTGCTTAGCCTCTCATCTTGGCTCTCTTTGGTTAGTCTGCCAATATGCTAATTATACATTCCAAAGGAAGTGACTTGACTTGTCTTAGTCTGGACTAACCTTCAGGATGACTTTTGCTCCAGGCATAAAACCACAGCACAAAGTGAAAACTAGCTAAATGAGGCCAGTCAAATCTGTGAACCATGATCATTAAATAGCAATCAAATTCTTGTTGTTATTCTCAAGTCATTTTGTCTTTAGTAACCTGACAGTAATTCTCCCTGTAGCTAAATTTATTCCCTTTAAATGAAATGTTACCATGCTTCCTTCACATAAACATGATGGAGGCTGAACTCCAGAAAGACAAAAGGGTGGAAATAGAGCTTCATGGCTCACAGACTGCACAACTTGATAAAGGAGGTCTCGCAGGGGTAGCAGGGAGCAGATGAGACATGAAATATCCTCAGAGGACAGGAAATGGCTGCTGGGTCATGAGCACTTTAAAAGGTTTCGTGATGGTGATTTGGTATCTCAAGTACTTACCATCTGGGGAGAATTGAGCAGGATGGGCTGAACAGGTTTGTTGTCCCAAAGAGTTGAACTTCAGCATATAGACCCACTCTTCCTCCTCATTAAGATAATACTGGAGATCTACAAGCAGGAGAGAATAAAATAAACGAGCAAGACCTTCTAAGAATCAAATCCTTATGCACATCACATAAGTTCTTCAACAGGGTAAAAAGGAAAAACACAGACTGGAAAAAAGTAGTTGGTAATGACATATGTGATAAGAGACTCATATCTAAAATGTATAGAACTTTAACACCTCAACAAGAAAAAGGTAAATGACCCAATTGCAAAATGGGCACACGACATGAATGGACACTTCACCAAAGAAGACATTCAGATAGCAAACCAACACATGAAAAAAATGTCCAAAATCCCCAGCTATAAAAGCGAAGCACATAAAAACAACTATGAGCTATCATGCTAAGTGTGCTCTACTGTGCACTTAGAATGGTATCTTCCTACGTTAGGTAGATGACACAACCTTGCTTGTTGAAAGTGGAAGGACCTGAAGCACTTGCTTCAGATCAAGGACTATAGTCTTCAATATGGGTTGAATCTTAACATCAAGAAGACAAAGATTCTCATCACTTGACCGATTGGCAGCACCATAACAGATGAAGAAGAGACTGACACTGTTAACAACTATCCTTGCTCTGCTCCACAATCACATTCTTGGCACCAGAAGCCAGGAAATCAAGACATATTGCTTTGGGAAAATCTCGAAAAGCAACAATGTCAGTCTAGAGATTAACTTGCACCTAATCCATGCCATGGGCTTTGCAATTACTTGCTATGCCTCTGAAAGCTGGACAATGACAGGGTGACATAAGGATAACAGAAGAAGAATCTATGCCTTTGAGCTGTGGTCCTCGAGAAGACTCTTGAACATACCATGGACCACCCAGAAAACAAATAGGTCTGTCTTGGAGAGGGTGAAACCAAGTGTCTCCTTGGAGGCTAGGATTTTGAAGCTCCATTGCACATACTTGGGTCATGTGGCCAAGAGGGACCGATCCTTGGAAAAAGACATCATACTCAGAATGGTGGAGGGACAGCACAGGAGAGGAAGACCCCAGATGAGATGGATTGATACAGTAACTGGGGCAATGGGAAATGATGTGTCAGAGTCAGTGAGACTGGCTCAGGACAGGGCAGGGTTCAGAGCTGCTGTACATAGGTCACTATGGGTCACAGGTGATGTGACAGCATGTAACAATAACAACATGACATATCATCTCACCCCAGTAACAATAGCAAAGTTCAACAGAGCAGCTGGCGAAGTTGTGGAGAAATTGGAAACTGTTTTCACTGTGACTGGTGGGAGTGTAAAGTGGTTCAACCACTATGGAAGGCAGTTTGGTGCTTACTCAAAAAGTTGGAAATACAAAATAACTATGAGATATCATCTCACCCCAGTCAGAATTGCAAAATTTAACAGAACAGCAAACAACAAATGCTGGTGAGGTTATGGAGAAATTGGAAACTGTTTTCACTGTGACTGGTGGGAGTGTAAAGTGGTTCAACCACTATGGAAGGCAGTTTGGTGCTTACTCAAAAAGTTGGAAATACAAAATAACTATGAGATATCATCTCACCCCAGTCAGAATTGCAAAATTTAACAGAACAGCAAACAACAAATGCTGGTGAGATTGTGGAGAAACTGGAACCCTTATTCACTGTTGGTGGGAGTGTAAAATGGTACAACCACTGTGGAAGGCACTATGGCACTTTCTCAAAAAGTGGCAAATAGAAATATCATTTGAGCCAGCAATTCTACTACTGGGAATATATCCCAAAGAAACCATAGCTGCCACCCAAGCAGATATACGCATACCTATGTTTTTCATAGCTTTGTTCATAATAGAAAAGAGTTGGAAAAAACCTAAGTGTCCATCAACAAACGAATGGATAGAGAAGCTGTGGTATATTCACACAATGGACTACTATTGTGGACTACTACTGCCTTGAAAAATAAGGAACTCATGAAAAATGGGTGACTTATACAAAATGGGTGACCCTGGAGGACTTTATGCTGAATGAAGTATCTCAGTCACAAAAGGACAAATACTGGGGAGCTCTGGTGGCCTAGTGGCAAGGAGCTGCAACTACAATTCCAGAGGCTCATGGTTCGAATCCACCAGATGCTTTGCCGGGGAAGGAGGGACAATCTCCTCCTGTACCAGTCAGATCTGATTTGACGGTACACTCACACACACACAAAATAATAAAATTTAAAAAAATATTTTTAAAAAAAAAGGACAAATACTGCATGGTGCCACTGTTGTAAAACAGGACTGACATTGGGGTTGGGGAGAGACTGAGAAAGATGGAATAAATTATGTATACTGCATTGAAACAGATGAGGGAGAGAACAGTTTAAAAGGGATATATGATTAGGTATTATTGTCATGACAGGAGTACAGAATGAGGGCTGCATAGTGGAGTGGACTTGGGGGGAGGAATTGTATAACAATGAAAGAATTTTACTTTTCAAAGAGAAGAATGAATTGGGGGGAGATGGGGAGGTGTGGCAGGGAGAAAAGTGCAACAATGAATGAATGGAAATCCAAAGTCTCTGTAAACTTTCATTAAAATTAACTTTAAAAAAAGAAGAAATGTGATGTTGGAGAAAAATACTGAAAATTACATGCACAGCCAAAAGAATAAATAAGTTTTCCTGTGGGGGAAAAAAGTTGGAAATAGAAATACCATTTGATCAAGCAATTGCACCACTGGGAATATACCTTAAAGAGACCAAAACTGCCACCCAAACAGATATATGCACAGCTATGTGTATTGCTGTGTTTTTATAATAGCAAAGAGATGGAAGCAACCCAAATGCCCATCAACAGATGAATGGATAAAGAAGCTGTGGTATATTCACACAATGGAATACTATGAAGCATTGAAAAATAAGGAACTCATAAAATATTATACAAAATAGGTGACCCTGGAGGACATTATGCTGAGTGAAATATATCAGTCACGAAAGAACAAATACTGCATAAAACCACCGTTATAAAATGGGACTGATATGGGAGTTGAGGGAAACTAAGAAAAGAGGGGATAAATAACGTATACTGCATTGGAACAGATGAGGGAAAGAATTGTTAAAAAGGAATATATGATTAGGTATTATTTGCATGACAACAGTTCAGAATGAGAAGTGCATAGCAAAGAGGATTAGGGGGTGGGGGTGGGGATGGTGTTGTATATCAGAGAATGAATTTGGGATTTTTTTTAGATTTTAGTGAAAGTTTATAAAGAACTTACGTTTCCATTCATACATTGTTGCATATATTCCTCCCTGCAACCCTCTCCCCAGTTTGCTTTGTTTGCTTTTTTTTTCTTTTGAAATAAGTTCTTTCATTGTTACACAGTCCCCTTCCCCAACCACATTACTACACAACTCTTATTCTGGATTCTTGTCACACCAATAATACCTAATGAATGATTTTTTTATTTGTTAAGTCTTTTTTTTAAATTTATTATTAATTTCAATGAAAATTTACAGAGATTTTGGATTTCCATTCAGTCATTATTGCACTTTTCTCCCCTCCCAACCCTCACCCCCAGTACACTACCCTCTTGGAAAAGTAAAAGAAAAATTCTTTAATTGTTTCACAATCCCTCCCCCCAGGTCCACTCCACTATGCAGCCTTTGCTCTGGACTCCTGTCATGACAAAAATACCTAATCACATATCCCTTTTAAACAGTTTTCTCCCTCATCTGTTTCAATGCAGTATACATTATTGAGCCCATCTTTCTCAGTCTCCCCCCAACCCCGAGGTCGGTCCTGTTTTACAACAGTGACATCATGTCCTTTTGTGACTGAGATACTTCACTCAGCATAATGTCCTCCAGGGTCAACCATTTTGAATAATATTGCATGAGTTCCTTGTCTGTTGATGGGCACTTACGTTATTTCCACCTCCTTGCTATTGTGAACAAAGCAGTGATAAACATGGGTGGTGTGCATACAAATGAATTTTTAAAGAGAAAAGTAGGGAGGAAAATGTACAAAAATGAATAAATAGAAATCCAAGTTTTCTGTAAACTTAAAATCACAATAAAAATTATTTTTAAAATGTTGACAATACATTGCAAAGAGGACTGGGGAAAGGGGAGGGGAGTTAATTGTGCAACAGTGAATGGCTATTTAAAAAAAAAAAGGGGGGATTCAGGGAGGAGGAAGGAAGGGAGAAAGGGTAAAAACACGCAACAATGAATCAATGACAATCTAACTTTCCTGTAAACTTTTATTAAAATTACAATTGAAATAAAACATTTTATTTAAAAAAATTGGAAATAGAAATACCACTTTACCCAGCTAGTGTACTGCTGGGAATATACCCTAATGACACCAGAATGCTCATCTAAACAGATGTATGCATATCCATGTTTATTGCTGTTATTCGCAATAGCAAAGAGATGGAAACAACCCATCAACAAACGAATGGATAGGAACCCTCTGGTATATTCGAACAATGGAATACTATATCGCACTGAAAAATAGTGAGCTTTTAAAACATTACACAAAATGAGTGACCCTAGAGGATATTATGCTGAGTGAAATGTCTCAGTCTCAAAAAAGGACAAATTCAAAAGGACAAATTCTGCATAACACCACTGTTATGAAGCAAGACTGACATGGGGGGTGCTGGGAGGAGAATAGGAAAAGAATGGATAGATAATGAACACATAGATAATGTATTGGAACAGATAAAGGAGAGAACTGTTTAAAAGGAATATATGAATAGGCATTATATGTAAGACAATGGTCCAGAATAAGAAGTACATTGCAGAGGACTGGGGGAAGGGAGAAAATTGTGCAACAATTAATGAGGGGTTTATATATATATAATTCTGATTTATTTACAGTTTGAATACATTGTTTTTCACAAAAAGTCCTTCCTATCTTCCCATTTCCTTCACACACACACCCATGAAATTGTGCAACCCTGTGATTAACACCCTACCCCCTCATCCTCACCCCTCTAACAATGAATATTTTTTAAAAATGAAAGAAAGTAACTGGAGGAGAGAGAAAAGAGGGGGAGGGAGAAAAATGTGCAACAATGAATGAATGAAAATGCAACTTTTCTGTAAGCTTTCATTAAAATTAAAATTAAAATAAGGGTTTGTTTGTTTTTAAAAAAGATAATACTGGAGAAACATCGCCAAACTCCCGCAAGTTATTTCAACCGCTTCTGCAGTGGAGCACATAACTCCTTCTCTCTTGTTGTTGTTTTAAGGCATGAAGTTTAGAGATGAATTGTTGGAAAACAATTTTAAACAATTTTTTTTAAACCCTAAAATTCTTCTCCATTGAGTCAGAATTGACTCTGAGTTGATCATCTAGCTAAGGTATTTAGAGGCTGTAAATTACATATGAGGAATTTTTTTTCTTCTGCCGAGCAGCTGAAATGGGTGGACTTGAACCGTTTGCCTTTGGGTTGGCAGAACAATGCATTCCCCACTAGGACACCAGAGCTCCCTAACTGAAACAGATACTGGTACTGAAAATGGGTTACTGATATAGTGAAAACTTAGTATGTGCAATTATCTTGCGTTTGATCTGGAAGGCCTGAAAGAACATGTTAAGGAAAGCCTAAAGGATCTTGGCAATGACTTAAAGCAAAGTAATAGAAGCTGGAGAAAACGTTATTGCATGTGGTAGGAAGTCTGGTGGCACTGTTACAATGTGGAAACTAGAGGCTGAATCTAATGAAGCTGGTATAGCCAAACTGTCTATAATAAAACGCAGAGGAGAAAGATGAGCTAAAAGAGGAACTTTCTTTATGTCAGATTCCTGGGTTTGAAAATAAAACTGCTTTTCATCCCAGCTTCTCTAGAGGGCAAGTTATTTTCAAAGTAATAAAAGGTTTACCAGCAAAGGATTAGCTTGTAACATCTTTTGTGAAGACCTCAGAAAGGTTTAGGAAAGTACCTAAGTAATTCTTTTTCTTTTCTTTTTAAACTTCAAAAGAGCTTGAGGGTGTTCCTCACAGATTCTCTTTATTAAACAATAGAATCTCCAAGAATTTAAGAATGATGTCCCACAGTAGCCTCAAAAGTAAACTAAAAGATTCACATCCCTGGGCTTTGTCTAGAAGATTGAAAATGATTAAGATTTATAGAAAATCTCCATGTTTTAAAGAACTGGCTTGAACTAAAAGATCAAAGAGGCTTTGTGTCCACCGGCAGGAAACTGACTGAGAAAATAAACTCATAGTTTTCATGTGGAAAAGAACAAGCAAACAAACAGAAATAAGTGTCCTTTAGTTGACTGTGGCTCAGGACAAGCTGTACTCAAGATGACCGCACTTGTGTCAGAACAGAACTGGGCTCCATACAGTTTTCAGTGGCTGGATTTTTGGAATTACATTGCCTGGGCTTTTTTCCAAGACACCTCTGAGTGGACCACATCTCCAAATTGTCCTTAGCAGCTGCATATGCCTTTTGTACCACTCAGGGACTCCATACTTCATAGAAAAGGAAGGTTCATTTCAGAGAGTAGAACCTAAAATCCAGAAGGAACAGCTGCAGAGCCTCTCAAGTGGAATCCACTACCCCCTGCTGTAGATTCCTGCTCATAATGACCGTCCAGCAGGCTTCCAAAGCTGTAAATCTTTAGAAGTGTAAACCATCATCTTTTTTTTTATGGAACCACTAAATCACCAGCCTTTTGGTTAGCAGCCTGACATGTTACACACTTCTCCAGAGCTCCTTCCATTAAGTACTACTAAGCCTGTTCCACGCTCTGTCCAATTGCCTTTTTTTCAAATGGGAATAAATCTGAATCTCTTCCAGTCAGTTGGCCAGGTCCTCCAGATTTCCTGATACAACCTGGTGAGC